AGCCTGATAAGCTCTCCGCTGTATAACTAAGAGGTTTGGGGCCCATGCTTTTGCTTATTTAAATAAAACAAGTATTTCGCACAAAGGGGCATAGCTCCATCAAAAAGGGTTGAAATCCCAAAATAAAATGCCAGTGCACAATTACATGAGATACCGATCATTCTGAAAAGTTTCAATGAAATCCACTTGTTAGTTAAGGAGGAGTTGCGCGGACAAGTGTTTCACAAAAAGGGGCATAACTCCATCAAAAAGGGTCGAAATCCCAAATTAAAATGCCGGTGCACAATTACATGAGATACTGATCATTCTTGCAAAGTTTCAATGAAATCCACCTGTTAATTAAGGAGGAGTTTGCCGGACAAGTTACTGCGGACGACAGTCAGACAGACATCCAGACATCCAGACAAACAGGGTGATTCAAGTTTACAAAACCCTATACTTCTACTGAATAGAGAAGTATTGGTAATACAAGAGAATCAAAACAAAAATGAAGGTCTGAAAATCTATATTTATTGTATTGTAATATACGATGTTCAGTAAATACAGACAAGCTTCTGTAATAACTCACCCAAATTAGTATAGGCATAACTGTTTACAAAAAAATGGAACGAATCACATTGGCTATCCCTACTTAATAGGCACACAAACAGAAAATCCTCTGTTGTATAATATAGTATTGTGCTAGAAAATCCAACTCTTACTTTATGTCTGTAATATCTGATTGCCAGATACAGCTTTAAATGATACACATTACAATATATGAATCAGAGACGAGTTCACTCTACACTAGACGGTAATCTTCCGATTTTTCTTTTTATTTGAAATCGCTATTTGTGTGCTAGGCTCTAGAACCGTCTCTCAAATGCTACAAACGAATGTAAAATCGTAACTGGCCTTCAAACGTTATCTTTAACTTAGACGTATATTTTGTGATATCATAGAACTATTTTTTTCGGAATTTGGGTCGATGAAAATAAAACAATTTAACTGCAAATTTATATAAAAAAAAACTCATCATGTATGTTTGGCACTACAGGGAAAACCTGGCACATAATTTGTGAACTTGACGTATGTACGGCATACAGCGTTTAACATAATGATGAATGAATTGTATTAGTGAAACTGAACGGACCAAGACAAAAAAGCAGGCAAATATAGTATAAATCAAATCGCCCGGTGTTAACTAAGTTGCAGTTAAAGACAACATAGTATAGCTTGATAGCTCAGTATAAAGAACATTCATTTTTTTTTATTCCGAAATCAGTATTCAACATATCGTTCACATTTACAAAAAATAATCTTTTGATTGATAGATTGAAAATGCAGCATGAAAATTCCAATCCGAGCACGTTGGACAATGTCTTCGTCTTTTCGAACTACATGTACATGTCCTACTAGTAATCTCCAATACAAATCTATCATTACCATATTTATAAGCAGTCATAACGGTCCTGAAAT